TAAAAGTCGCTGATTTAGCTAACTATTTTCAATATTAAATTAATTGTTGTAAAAATGAGTTTTGACCTAACCGCTAAGTCAGTAAAAGTCGCTGATTGAGCTAACTATTTTCAATATTAAATTAATTGTTGTAAAAATGAGTTTTGTGACTTATTTGGACGAAGAATCATGATTGGGGGATTTTACAGATTGGAAAAAAAAAAAAAAAAAAAAATTCCAGTGACGGGAACCGAACTCGGCATCCTCACAATGGCAGGCGAGTGCTCTACCAATTGAACCATCCGAGCGGTTGCATTAAAACTGGAAATAAGTAGTATATAAGGGTAGCGTTATTGTTGTTGAAAAGAAGATGCATCGTTGACCGGTGACCGACGCGGATGGTTGCTGGGGATTCTGCAACTTTTCATGCCTCTTTCCTTCTCAAGAGTAAACATCCTTTGGTTCATGGTTTTGTTAATTCGTCAATGTAATTTTCTTAAAAAGTTTTCCTCTCTCCTTATGTTAATTGTTTACGACTGATTTTATTTACCATGAATTTAATTCATAATGTGAAGTGTTTTCCAAGAAAAAAATTCTTTCAGACCCTCTCGGCGATTGAAAATGAAAATATAATCCTCCGCAAACATTCTGCATTTTCTCCATACAGGACGAATAATAAATATTGTTTCTCTTCACCATTTACTAAAGTTTCAATAACTTACTCTCAAAACTATTATTCCACTGGTTTGCAGTTCTGCAAAGTGCCTAGAACAAATGTTTCAACAAGAACACGGCAAAGCACAAGATCTTTTTTTGAATCTTCCGGAGCAGATATCAACACCAATGTCTCAAGAGATGTCGTGATATTTGAATATAATAACGATAGACTTTTCGCGATTATTAAAGTTTTTGGAATAAGTCAAATTTTCGTATGGGGGTATCTTGCGAACACAGCTTACACCTGTCTAAAAGATGCTCCTGTGGAAAAACCTCCTCACCGTGAATTGCAGTGGTGGGAGAAAGTTAATTTAGGTGAAAACTGGGTCCGGAATGGTATCACAACGTTATGTGTCATCATGGGTAAGGAAGCCAACCAATCTAATAGTAATGATTTTGAGTAAACTTGCTCTTGAGTTTTTGAAGTTTGTCACATTCCTGAGAATAATTCTAGTCAGTAATGAAGACCTCATGACAATTCATACCTCTGTTTCCTTATGGTCTAAATTTCTCAACTCGAACAATTAGTAAAATATGTAGTGCTCTTGTGGGAGGGGGAGTGGAGAGAGCATTAAATCGTTTAAGTAATTTTTATGTTTTTAGTGAAAAAAGGGTTGAAAAATAAAAAAACTAGTGTGCCCTATATCATGAATGTAGCTCCTTTTTGGACTTTTCATATAAGGGTGATTTCGTCACCTTCCAGGCAAAGTATCACAAGCGCCATGCGACGTTTAAAAATTTCCGCCGCCATTTTATTTCTTTACTGAGAAATTGTTGGTTGAATCTGTTTGGAAATTTCACTAAATTTTATTGGCAGCACAAAGAAAATTCTGTGAAATTTTCGGACAGCTTCGTTGAACAATTTCTCTGTAAAAAAATAAAATGGCGGCGGAAATTTTTAAATGTAGCATGGCGCTTGTGATACTTTGCCTGGAAGGTGATGATTTCTCAATAACACGAATAGACAAGTCCCCGTGGGTTCTGAACAACTTAGGGCAAAACGATTGAAAACAAAGTCGATAAATCTATAGAAATGATGTCCCTGAACTTATCTAGAGTACCAACTTATCCATGCTAAAAAGTATCATTAATTATTCTCATCTATAATAAAATGAGACCTTAAAGGCTGGACATGTCCGGTCGGTTACGCATTGCCAACCCTGTTTTGAAGCAAAAGAGGAATTTCCAGTAATACATTCAGTGTTGATCATGGATTTTTGGGTAATACTTGCCGAGAGCAGACTAATGGAAAGAAAATTGCCATTATGAACTGAAACGTTTATTAATAAGTGAGAAAAGTCATTTGAAAGAAGTGTCGCCACATTTGGCAACGTATTTTAGCAGTTGTATTACTTAAGTGCAGCGTTTATCTGGCCAGAGGGAGCCAGGAGTTTCAAAAATGTTTTAAACTTGTTCGCTGTAGTCTTCTCGACCACACCTTTACTGACAAGGAGGTGGAGGAATAGCAGCAGGTGATAATGTTGCTGTGTTTAGATATAGGGAACTGTTGATTATTGTGTAAAACTCATATGACAGTTGAATGTACTTGAACGAATGCCAACATATCTGATGAAGGCTTTAACAAACCATTACCATAAAATGATGAAAGAAGCAAATTGTAGCTCTATCTAATAAGAATTATGAAATTCTGTTTTTCATTACTCACAGGTTTTGGCCTTAGCCTCCTTGCACATGCACTTAGCCTCCGAACAGTGAAGCAGATTATTCTGCACAGAGGTGGCAGAGATATCACCATCCATACTTACTCATCTTTTGTAGGCAACAGATTTAGAGTCCCTCTTCATATGGTGAGTATTTTTGAACCTTCCTTCTTCCTCAAACTTCCCCGATCCTAAAACTTTTCAATATGATCATGCTTTAAAGCATGATTTTCTTTGACTCATAAAAGTAAGAAGGTATTTAAAAGCATAATTTTTCCTTCGGAAAACATGATTCCTTTTTGAAGTGAATACTGTGGCTTAGAGTCAAAAAGTTATAATTTGTATTTCAAAAAGGGTGAGAGTCTAGTTTTTAAATTTCAAAACTAACTTCATATTTTTCTATCAGCAATGCCAAATAACTTTATCTTTGCTTGGGAAAACAGGAGCAGTGTTTGAAACTCACATTTGAGGAGCCATGTGGCCCATGAGGCTCGATTTTTAGGGGCCATCGAATATTTTTTAGAGGCCAAATTGACTTTTTTCCCATATATCACTATATATTTTAGTGAAAAGTTAGACTCAAGATGTTGTAGGTGCAGAAATACTAGCTGTAACTTAAGGAGGAGAAAAACTCCAAAAATCATCAACTAGAAAAATTAGGATTTTTGGGGGGGGGGGGAACGGGGATTTTTAGAAGTCACAATTGGCGCAGAGCCTTTATTTAGGCGCCATGACTGATTTCTTGGGCGTATTTGGCGCGTTTATGCCTGTGAGTTTCGAACACTAAACAGGAGATCTATTGTTTCAGTACTGGGAAATATAGGAGGGAAATATTGGTGGTACGTAGGGCGGATTTTATGTTTGTGTGTTACTTAAAAAGTTTTCTTGTCCTCCTGAGAAATTGATAATTTGCAATACGGCACTTTTAGGATACCTCAATTCCTTTTTAGGAAATATTCTTAGTTTTTTTACTTTTCAATCAGAAAGTTCACTAAAATACCTAGGTTGATATTTTTTCAATCGGTCATAATCGTTTTTCTTTTTGTTATTTTGAAAAATTTCAGAGTACCTATCTTAGAATTCAAAAAAATCCTGGAAAAGTTTAAGTTTAGTTTACTGACAATGTAAAAAAATTTCTTGTTACTCTGGTCAGTATGAAATTATGAATATTTCTCAAAATGTTCAACCCATGTTTCATATTTTCATTTTATGATCTTTTCTCATTTGAAGGTGAGCTGTTCTGTTAGCCGTAAAGGTTCACCCCATCACCTTCCTTTGAAAATCAAAGGGAAATGGTTTTATTTCACATTAGACTCAAGAGGAACGTACCCTCATCCTACTCTCTTCGAATGGACTGCTGGTTTGAAAAGAAGTCTATAAGCGTTAGTAATTTTTGTCCTCAAGACTCTTGGTGAGATTGTTAGTTTACTTCCTCTTCATGTTTTGTGTATAATAAATCGTTTTAAACTTGTTTTTCATACTTGCATTTTAATAAAACGTGGTCAATCTCTGAAACATTTTTTTGTGAAAGGTGATTTCTCAGTTGCCAATGTGATGTGGCATTTTTTAAAGTTCCTTAGCGGTTTCTAAAAGAAATGCAGAAAATTTAAATTGGGGTTTTCAGATTACAGAACGACAGAATAAAGTAAGCCCCACAAAGTCAATTCAACATCCTAAGTCAATGTTTTGGAAAGAAAATTAGCAATTTTCAATATCACTCATCTGTGAGTAATTATCGTTTTCTGCATTCGAACAGCTCAAACTTCCTGCAAAGGTGGTTGTATGAAACCCTATCGTTTTTTTAAGGGGAGTCGAAAACCATTTTTCCTTCCCAAAAAATTGTTTTCAGTTTGTTTCCTAATCAAATTCTACAAACCCTCAGCTGTAATATGAAACCAAGTTTTTTTAAAAAGCCGATCATTATTGTATGAGTTGTGTAACATTTTGTGATGCACAGAATGATGCAATCCTTCTGTGTCGAAAACTTCAAACAGGTTTTTCTCAAATGACCTTTTTTATTTTATTTTAAGGTACACTCTTCCCAAGATCTGCTGAATGGATTTTCAAAAAAAAAGAAAGAAAAAAAAATCGTTTTTTCCTCACCTTCTTCTTTAACTACTGACAAAGAGGTTTTTCCTTCTTTTCTTAAAGAAAAATATTTGAAAAAAATGAAGGAGTTTGAAGGCCTCTTTTGCTCTTTTTTTAAAAAAAAAAATCATGAAAATTTCAGTTTTCATGATTTTTAATAATTCTCTCGTCTAAAACTTGGGCATAATCCAAGAAATGAAACCAAAAAGAATGTTTTTGAAAATCCGTCCAGAACCTGAGAAAAGTGTACTTAAGTATCAGTACATTTTCAATGGTGATGGTTAGGATTACTGACTTTCCTTCATTTATGTACGAATGATTATGTGCATAGCTATGGGGTAACTGACTAGAAACAAAGGAAATCTTGTGTGATGTAAAGAAAAAACTCATTAAAATAAAAAGAAACTTTAATAGGAAATCATAACAACAAAAAAAATCAAAAAGTAGTAACAACTCTTTTTTTCAATAATAAAGCCTAGAATACAATTGTGCAAGCTTTCAAGTCACTGGTTTTTCAGTCTTGAATCAAAAACATTAAGTGACAGTTATCATTGTGCAGAGGCATTTTATGAAGGAATGAAATGCCATTATCCTTTTTCAAATTTCCAAACAAGAAAAATCATTCTCAAAATTTATTTGATGAAGAGTTCTTAGAAATCAAAATTCAAAATGACTAGATTTTGAATTTTACTCTTGCCCGAAAAAGCTTGCAGGATCTTGGCCTTAGCTGAAGTTAATTCGATGTTTAAAGTAAAAAAAATGCGTATTACCAACTGCAGTGTTGCACATTTTCACTCCAAGTTTGCCTCTTTTTTTTCAAAAGAAAACTAACTAATAGTTTTCCTTGAAGTTTTCTGTACATTTTTTTTGCACACTGAGAAAAATTCACGGAAATATTTAAGATGTTTAGCTCACATCTCTTAAAATAACTGAAAATAATCAGAGATCATGAAACTTTGTAATGGAAGTATGCACTTCCTCACTTTAGCAATGTCCATGTGCGTATGACTGTCAGCATTTGAGATATTATATACAAATCAAGTGTGAATTTGAATACTGGCCTTTCTGAGCATGCTTTTTGTTAAGACAAGTGTCAAACTTACATTTCTCAGCTGGCTTAGCAACTTGTGTCAAAGTTTAAATAAACAATGTCGCCATCGCAGTCAAGGCATTGTGGATTTGCTCTCAGAAACAAGTTCTTACACACTCGACATTCACGAATAGAGCAAAAACAAAATGAAGTTCTCTGACTTTATCAATCTGATTATTTTGGACATGATAAAACAGAGTATCGGTAAGCAAATTGAGAAGTGAAGAGGTAAGCAGTACAAAGATTGGTACCTAAGTTTGGGTACTACCAATGCGTTTGCATAGAACCCTTTTTTCTTTTAAATTAATTAGGAAGTCTAAGAGAAACAATTTGAGAAAAAATAAAAGCATCCCTGTCATATTGCTCTCATCTCAAGAGTATTATTTGTATGTTTTTTTGCCCTACAAAAATACACAACAACAATATGAGTAAGAATAATAACATAAGCAAACAAATAGATTTTGCTTCACTGTTTTAAAAGCACTAATGAGTTTGAAGAATAGGAGTCAGTTTAAAGAGTTTGCAGAAAAGTCTCCTGTATCTTGAGTTTACTCATTTTTGAGCCCACTAAATGTGATAATCAATTGGATTGCATTTTGCAAAAAGGAACCACTAGCATTGCAATGATTAAGATTGTGCAACTTCATCTTTTGCAATAAAATTGCGGAAATCGTAAAAAACTATGAAATTTAGATGGTAATTTTTGTCTTAAATTTAGTTTTTAGCGAGTAAAATAGAAACTATTAATGGGTAATCGGGTTTTTCCTCCAAGTCAAAAGAAGTTGCACAATCTTAGCAACATTGAAATGCTAGTGGTTCCTTTTTGCAAAATGCAATCCAATTGGTCAGGACGCTACTGAGGCTATCTGAACTATTGCCACCGATATCTGAAAAGCAATTGGCACAAGAGGTGACATGCCCCCAAATGCATTTTCAGTCTGTGGTCAAAATCAGAGTAATCATTGATTCGGCTGCTTTAAGAGATTAACGCTTGACATTAAATGTTTTATTTAATTCAGGGAATACCTCACCTTGTTTCTATGCGCTGCAACAAGTAACACATTGTTTTTTTTTTGCATAAGAAGCAAAACTTTAGCCATTTTCTCATCTATTTTTCGAAACTACAATTCTTCAGTTGAAATAGTGTGGGCTGTCCCAACATTAATTTTTAGTTTACCTGCTATCTTTTTGTCATACTTTCAACAATCATGCAACACGCACGCATGCCTTACGCACGCCTCACGTTTTTAGACGCTGGCAACACTCAAGAGCAAGTGGGGCTATAACTCTTCTTCACTGACTCTTTTATGACCACCCTTAAACTGATGTATCAACTTATAGACCGTGGTCTTTTTATATGATTGCCATATGCTACCTTTGACAAGTTAAAAAATTCCTTAGACTTTTCCCTCGAAGAACAAGAAATTTGATGTTTGTGCGTTGGTCTCTCAACGCGGTTGAATTCACGATCACACTAATTTTGACTACAGACCACAACTGCGCCCGGAACATGTCATTTGTGTAGGTTCTTGATCAGATCGGTGACGATGATTCAGGCAGCGTCCTAGCTAATAGGTTTTCACATTTATCCAAACCAAATGTGACAAAGACTTGTGATAGGCGACTTTTCTATGAAGTTTTTGAAACCAACCTCATAGGTTTCAGTATGATTTGTCTCTCATTTTTATCTCCAGGATGAATCATTTGTCAATTTAGTTCTTGATTTATTTCCATTCATTTCAATCATACCTCACACAGATCAATTCTCAGAATATAACTTAAAACAGGTATAAATTACGGAATTTTACGACAAGTGTTAGGGCAAATTAAACAAATGACTTTTCGATTGCTTCAGAAGATCAGTCATATATATCGCCACACTGTAGTTAAGTGAGAGAATCAAAGTAGATAAGAATGAAAACAGCACTGTTCTAATTTCTGCGAGAAAGATTCTTGTGAGGATTCCGTTGCTAATGAACATTTGCGAGTTCAATTTATGAGGAAGTACCGATTGAGAACTGGACATACACTCTCTAATACTGAAGTTTTTTTTTTTAACTAGATTTATCTTTCACGCTGAAAACATCAAGACCTAGTTAGAAATGAAAAATAAAACTAGACCAAAGCGTTTGAAATAAACAGTGTGCTACACTAACAGATAATGTAAAGGTTTTTCAATGAAAACCTATCTGAATATTTGTCAACTATTTTGTACTTACTGTTTCAATGTTTAAAATAATACAGTGGTATCATTTACATTAGAAAACTTTACGTATCACTCATTACAAAAGACACAATATAGATTCATTGGTGAAGTCAGGGAAAAACAGGAAAATTACTGGTTTCTATCCATTTTTTTTAAAATAGGCTATCTAAATTAGGGTGGTGTTTAAAATATATCAAACGAGCAAACATGATAAAACCAAAGTGGTCATTGTGTAAGTTCCTTTCTTCTTCCAAAATTATCATCTTAAAAAAAGGTCAGTTTGTAGCCCCTTTTGATCTTGTTGCGATGAATAGCCTGGAAAAGAAAAATTGATTACTCAAAACCTACACAACATGGAGGGTTAATAAATTTTAACCTATTTTATGCTGTTCTGTAAATCGCTGACTTCAGCAACTTATCTTACATCAGACATTACATGAAAGCGTTGGTGGAATCTGTGGGTCTATCTTCCGACAGCATGTTTCTCAGTGTGATATGTTTTGAATATTTGATTCAGTACTGATGAGGTATCAGGGTCGTTTAGCCACAGGTTGGCCGCTGAGGGACTGTCCACTATTGATATAAGAGCTGAAACATTAAGAAACATTGGTTGTTCTTTGTCAGTCGGTCACATTAAAATGGAAAAGTAAAACTCACTTCCAGCGCCAGAGGCTGGAAAATTTAATTTTGTCAAAAGAGTTGCCACAGCATTTGGGAAAATAATTTCAGTGACTTCTTGACACATTTGGTAAAATTTCCTCACAATTGAAGATATGCCTAAATGGTTGAAAAGACAAAATTTGAATAGTTTTCAGGCAAACATTTTTGTTCAAAACGTCCAAACCACTCTAGAGAGCAAATAAGGGCAACTCAACAATTTGTTTCAGATCTTTTTGTCATTTTCCCTAAATGTTTAAAATTTCCTGGCATTTCCTCACTGTGGTAACCCTGTTTCTGGTTACTGGTTAAAACTATAGAGCATAGGGAATTATCTAAAAATGAATAATATTCTACCTCTTATCAGTATTGAATGACGTATGTAGATTGGAAGTTAAGGTACATGAAGTCAGATGCTGACTCTTCTATACCTTACGTAGGAAATGATCCTTACAACAGGACTTTCAGATATCAACTCATGAACGGGATAGTATGAATTATTACATAGCAGTTTCCACCATTAGATGTACTTTCTTGTGAATAAGTGTTTGAATGATGTTGTTTCCAGAACCTTGATGAATGAAAATAAAAAAGATGCATGTTACGAGTTTATCAGGGTTGCCACAGAATTTAGAAAATGAAATTCCCTGACATTTCTCTGATTTCCCTGACGACTGAGGATGTGACGTATGGTTAAGAAGGCATAATTGACAATAGTGCTCAGGCAAAATTCTTTGTTCAAAATCTCAAACCCACTCTAAAAAGCAAATGAAGGTGATTTAACAATTTTTCCTTGACATTTTCGTCATTTTCCCTGACATTTCCCAGTTATCCCTAACTTTTTAAAATTCCTTGACATTTCCCGGTTTTCCCTGACAACTGAGGATGTGGCGGATGGTTAAGAGGGCATAATTGGAAATAGTTTTCAGGCGAAATTTCTTGTTCAAAATCTCAAACCCATTCTAGAAAGCAAATGAAGGTGATTTAACAATTTTGCCCTGACATTTCCCGAGTTTCCCTGACTGCGGCAACCCTGGTTTATAGACTGAAATTTGGGGGAGACTAAAATGTAAAAACCAGCACACCTAGGAGAGTTTTAGGATTATTGAGACCAAGGATAATTGCAGGATTTGTGTGAAGTGCTTTGTAAACAGGATCGTTGCGATCCAGCCCCATCTGTTGGCTGCTCCCTGCTCCCAGGTTGATTCTTTCCTCCAGTTTGCTTCCATCAGAAGAAACCTCAGTCTGAAACATTACACGACACACTAAGAAAATAGTTTCATGCTGTGCAAGTTTCATTTGTCGAATTACCATTCTTATGTACTGGATAAGTTAGAATCCTACAGATTGTAGCTTAGACGCTTGCATCTGGTTTTGTACTTCATTCAGTTTTGAGTAAAATAGGCCATTAGACAAGGCATTATTCAAGGCACTAGGTAACATATTTTCTTTTCAAAATTTTACAATGACAAGAAATCACGCTCACACGATGAGAAGTCTAAAGATCAACTTCTAAACAAGATATAAGAGTTTACAATTGACATTGGTTAAATCGCAAAAATACAAATGATATAATTTGTATGATATATGTTCAAATACTTGTTAGTACCTCCTTTTTTTTTTTTTTTTTTTTTTTTTTTTTTTTTTTTTTTTTTTTTTTTTTTTCGTCAGTAGAATATTCTGTACTAGTGCCAAGCTACATAATTGGCTTATTTCTCTTGGAAAAAATAAAATAGAAGCGTAAAATTTGAAACATTGCAATGGAAATACTTGATTTCACAATTTAGCCATTGATATAAGTCATCGAAATAGTTCCTAGGAATTCTCTTGAAACTGAGTTAGCCGCAAAGAATGATAAAGGGAAAATTAAAAAATACATAATAATAAATCTCCTTCAGTACATGAGCTCAATTTTTAGACTAAAAACTAAATGTTCACAGAATTTCTACCGGGTTTTTGAATGTTTGAGGTCTATGCTATAAACTCAAAACTGAAACCACAATGGATTGTTACCATCCTCAGCAAAATAATGTCAGAAGATTTGAAATAGTGCTTCAAACCTCTCCTGAAACTTAGCTTGACATAAGATAGGAGTGGTGCAAAATTTAAAAATAAATAATCACAATAGCCATAACATTGTTTATTCATGAGCTTGATCGCATGAATACAAAAAACCAGACAGAATTTCTACCTTGTCCGGTTGAATTTGATGAAATTTTTCGTGCCGTGCTTCGAACTTCTCTTGAGACTATAGTTTGATCGGAGAGAAATAGAGGAAGATAAAATAAATGATGAAAACCAACTATCAAATCTGCAAGCTTATAAAATTAGATAGACATTGTGAAAACTTACCAACTCAGATTGGTCACTGTCAGTCTTGCTCAGCAATTCTGGGGAACTGCTCCGTGCGAGGCCTGAATCGACCAGAAACTGTAGCATTTTATCGTTTCCAAGATCATTATTGTTGCGTTTGGCATTAACTGTGATACAGATTTTTAAAAGGTGGCTAATTTTTTCTGCTAGACTTGCATTGGCATTTTCCGGAGGGTCCAAATCTATACTGTTTGGAATGCTTGTGTCTGAGGCTTTGAGAGTTTCTAATGACCCATCTAGCAAACATTCAAGCGCCTCTGTTGCATTTTGCCTGAAATCAATGAAGAATAATTATGTATTCAAAAGGCAAATGAAATTGCCAGGTGTGGTGATTAAGCTTCAGGCAAAAGGAAAAATTCACCAGGATAGCAATTTCTGCTAAGTTGGGAGAAAAAATCGGATAATAAGGTTTTTGACGAAAAACTCAGTTCTCACCAATAAGTAAGTATCTCAAGGAATAAGTTGCAAGCAATCTGATTCATTTTCATGCCTAACAAGAGCATAAGTTGCACTATAATTTGACAATTATCGACCTCAAACATAGTTAGAAACTTAGTTCTTTGTGGTTCCTTGTTTTGCAGGTAAGAATTATGTTTTTGAATTACAACTTCAAACATGGTCAGTCATTTTTGAGTAATTTCCTCCTCTAATAGATGGTACCAGTGACTTAAAGTTGAAATTTTTCAGCACCACAATACTGATATACTTACCAGGGGGATAGTCCCATATATTGAAAACAATAAAATGGTTGAAAAAATTCAATAGTTATTTAGCTGTGGGTAAAGTACTACAGTTAACTGGATAAGTACACTGCTGTGCTAAGGAAAAACGTCGTATGAACCTTCAGGCGTTGCCAAATTTCCTTTCATTAAACACAAATTTCCTGGTAAACTTGTAAATATTTTCCTTCACACTTTTCAGATAATTTTGTTTGCAATTTCACCTAAAGATTCTGAAAATTTAAAGGAAAAATATTCATAACTTTCCTCAAAAATAAACATTTTAGCAAAGTAAATTTGACACCTCTCGAATGTTCATACAGTGTTCTTCCTTGGCACGGCAGTACTGTACTAGGTACTACAGTTAATAGATGGATGTATTACTTTTCATTTTCTTTCCTGATAGTTGATACAATGATACAGGTTCAAGACCATTATGAGGTAGAATGAAGGAATACCTACTTTTTCAAAGCGAGAGCAGCAATGACTTGCTTCTTAGGAAATCCCATTTCCTCCAGTTGTTTGACAATTTGAGGGTCGGGAGCATTTTTGGAATGCAAGTCAAGTTTTGATACTATCACCTCGTAGATTTCATTTGCATCCGGGTTTGCTGATAAGATTCGCGATGATGTTTCAGCCAGGGAAATGAACATTCTCTGAATATCGTTTTGAGTCTGAAAGGCAAGTTGGTTCATGCGCATATATGTAAAGAAAATAGTAAATGATACAAATTAAATGTCTTGGGTAGAAAATTTATTGTGAGATTTAGAGAGCAGATGAGTCTCTCAGTTTCAAAAGAGATAAGCTGATCTTGCTTGTCTGAGAATGAGTGTTCTATTCACTGTGTTAGGAAAAAAGAAAAATAAGAAAAAAAAATCTAAAAAGAACTAAGCTGATATGAGACGTACTAATTTTCTCTTTGACGGCATTACCATAACAACATTTTCTATGTAGGCAAGATTTTAACGTCATCGGAAAAGATGAGCACCGATGAGAAAAGAACTCGCCTCAATGAAAATTTCGAAGATCAGTTTTGAGAAAACTACCCTACTGTTAAACCAATAAAGTCTAGAAAAAAGATTATCGTTCTCCATGGTTCGATATCAGAAGCATTGAAGAAAGGTATCGCAGATTAATCTGTTCTAGGTATGTGAGGCCCCTTTCTGGTGAAATCTGAATGAGGTGGTGCGCCATTTGACAACATTGCCACTAGTATACTAGAATTCTGTAGGCAGGTTGAAATCAATAAGCGCTCCCTATTGGCTGAGCCCTTAATAGGCTACTTATTTCAAAGAATCATAATTGCACATATATTTCCTGAGAATTTTGAGAACTGGGCAAAATGTGCCTTGAAGTTAAAGTATTGTGTCGTTCCGAAGTCTACTCTCTGAAATCTTGCATTTTGTTTGCCAACAATGAAGACCTTCTGTCATACTTTATCTTTAATTCAGATGTTCATCAATGTAAGCTTCCGAAAATTCGTGTGTGATTATTTCTCTGAAATTCTAAGAAAATCAGGCATCTCATTACTTTGAAGAAATTAAATAAGAGCAGTTACTTGGGAACGACACCAGCAAAACACAAGGGATTTGCTATTAGCCATCAAAATCTTCAGTTCAGCAGACTTGTAATATTTAACATGTCTGAGGAGGAACCTTGCGTGGATAGAATTAGATGTTCAAAAGTACTAATGAAATCATATAATTTAATCCATTTCCTTAGATCCTTATATCCGTTCGGAAGATGAATTCGGTGGCCTCTAGATTCTGCAGCCTTGGGAAACTGAATTTTTACTTAGAAGGTAGCAACTTACTGAAATGAACATTGAGAACTCTAATACCTATCTAAGACAGTGACACTTACATCTGATGGTCGGTGAGGCTTCGGGATAGGACCATTGGTATTTTGTGGAACTAGATGTTTCGTAGCCTTTTCGATTTCCTCCATTGTGGGACCTCTCTCATCTTCTGGTAATACTTTCTTCGGTTGGATATTTCGTTCAACAAGTAAGATTTCATCTATGGAAACAGCACAAATTATTAGGTTATTATTTAGGAATAATTTAAGTACCGTCAGATAAAATATTGTTTTAATAAATAAAGATCTGGTTCCTACAAAAATTGCTTAGAGTTGGAATGGCTTTTACTGATTTCCTGAAGAATTGATCCCACAGAGGAGTGCCAGAATGAGGTACCTACCTATATAAGTGGATAAGAAAAACTTCTCAACAATAAGTTACTTCAGAAGAAACTTTCATTAGCTAAAGTTTCCAAGCTCTGGGCATCAGAAGTGAATTTAATGTATGAGTTGAAGATATACAAATCAAGAAGTAAAACTATGTTGTTAGAAATAAGCATACAAAAGTAGTTCATGATGAAATAAATGTTAGAGTCATTATCCGGAGCATGAGACCCTATATTAACATTGAATCAGGTCAACTTCATTAACACAGAAGAAATCAAAGAAATGTAAAAAAAATTTCGGATTTAAGTTAATAGTAGAGCTTGATTGACTGCATGGCATGGCAAACGCTACCTTTATCGCTTAAATTCTCCTCTAGGATTGTGCAAGTTCCGTTGAGAACTTTCTTCCCAGCAACGTCAACAAGGTAGTAATTTGCACTTGATTTAAGACTATCTTGGGAGTTGTAAAACCGACTAAGGATTGAATTTTTCAACTTGTCAACTGTTGTATTTACAGGCACTTCCAATGTCCACACATGTCCTTCCAGGCCAACAACAGTTAATTTAACTTTCTGGCTACATGACGGTTCGTCCTCTGCTAGCATACTATGCTTCGACGTTTCACTTTTCTCCTCATTTTTGGATTCCTTGTCACTGAAGAAACCAGAGTTAAACTTCTTGCATGCCCACGCTATCATTAATAATTGAATCAAAGGATCACTGCGCTAAATTAACACTAAAAGTTAAGTTGATTTAAGAATTCCACAACAACACAACAACACCTGTCATTCATGAAATCATTCAATGTAATGTAAACAACTGGATCAGCTGATCCCCAGTCACCCCAAATCGCTGTTGCTAAATTGAAATAATATTCCTCATTTGTCACCCTTCTATCAATGTCGTTTTTTATCTCGTCACAGGAAATTGCAAATGAGCCCTTAGTTTACGTCAAATAATTTTTTTTTAATTCCTCTTGAAAAACTGAATTTTTATGATGATATTCAAACAACTATTTTAATAGTCAAATGCAAATTTATACATTTGGCAACGTGAAAAATAACCAAAACAAGTATGGCGGATGGCAGAAGGGGGCGGGAATTTTTTTTCCAGGACGAGTTTCCAGAGAAGTGGCGAGTGCCAGCGAGTGCCAGCAGCGCCAGCCACGGCGCCAAATGAGAGCACGTGGTTTTGTCAGAAATATTTCAGCTCGATTATCTGTTGATTCTCTGTGTCTGAATCATTGTAGATCTATTTAGTGTGAACTTGTGCAACTCGTTACTTTTGGATTTTCATCATGAAGTATATTTTAGTGACCGGCGGTGTCATCAGCGGCGTCGGTAAAGGAGTTGTCTCCAGTTCATTTGGAGCCATTTTAAGAGCCTGTGGACTCCATGTGACAGCAATCAAAATTGACCCTTACATGAATATTGATGCCGGGACCTTTTCACCGTATGAACATGGTAATGATTTTTCATTTTTATTCAAATTATACGCTTCCAACCACTGGCATGATCAGGCGTTGCCTACGAGAATGGAGAGGCCGTAACTAGTCAGTTATGTGACGTCAAGCCAGTAGATATTTACCAAAAACAACAAGCATCTCCGGGTCATCAGTACATTGATGAGCGAGGCAGTTTCTGCATGGACCAATCAGAGTGGCCCTCAATCAGCCAAAGTTGCGTGAAGCGGCCCTCGATCAGCCGAAGTTGAGAGAATCTGAGTGGAGTAACGATTTTCGGTATTACGCTTTCAGTTCCTCGATTATTAGACAATGTCATATATGGGTTAGTTAGTTTTCTATAGTGAAATTTCATCCTCCCTCGAAAAGGTTCTTATGAATTTTTGCATCAGATCAACCGTCGAAAAGATATCAGCTCGAAAGAAACACGCTTCAGGCGTTCTCCCTTAAGAACACATGTTAAACCGCGGCTGAGTTTCATCTACTAGCATGACGTCACAGAAATGTAGTTAAGGCCTCTCTATTCTCGAAGGTAACCGTTCAGGATACCGCATCAAGAAGTGTACTTATGTACCCAGCGGAATTCATCATGCCCATCTAGTTTATACGATTTAACTCCCTCACACATTTTACCTAGCCTGCTGTCAATGAATCTTCAAGTCTTATGTTATGTCAGGAAGCCCAACTCACATGGTTCAACTTTTCACCGGTCAAAAGTGGACGAGAGGCTGAATGGAAAGTTACATGCAACATGATGTAATTCAACTGTCATTGCCTCATGATATTGTGAAAGGGCATTCAGGTATCTCAGTCAGCTTTCAGCATCTTCTAAAAGAGTGGAGCGGCGTAACTACATTTCTGTGACATCACGCCAGCGGGTAAAACTCGCCTGCTGTACTACCGATGCCTTCTCAGTGGTTGATCTAATTCAGAAATTCATTAGTACCTTTCCAAAAGAGGATGAAATTTTTCTTCAGAAAACTGATAACTACATAAATGACATAGTCTGATCATTGAAGAAATGAAAGCTGAATACCGCAAATTGTTACTTCACTTAGATTCAAATGCGCTGTTCATGCAACTTTGGCCAATTGAAGGCCCCTCTGATTGGTCCATGCGGCGTCTGCCCCACTCATTGATGATCTGATGGCTCGGAGATGATTGTTGTTTATGGTAAATATCCACTAGTTTAATCTTAAGTCCACACCAAGTATGTTGATGCGCTTTTGGAGTGGGATAGAAGAACAGCTGTCCTCCCCTCAGCTTTGGAAGTGAATACCAGAATCAAAATGGCAGATCTTCTGTCTCAGTCTAGGAGTACATAAACTTATTTGGTGTGGATTCTATCTAAATTCAAAACGGACATACTGAAATGGTAAAACTTTTTTTTTCTGTGTACAGGAGAAGTTTTTGTCCTCGATGATGGCGGCGAAGTGGATATTGACCTGGGAAATTATGAGAGATTTCTCGACATCACACTAAATAGCGACAATAGCATAACAACAGGAAAGATAAACCAACAAGTAATAGCAAAAGAAAGGAAAGGAGAGTACCTTGGTAAAACTGTTCAAAGTGAGTGTTTCATGAGTTTCCAGCAGATCTTGGAATGTATTTGTTAATTTTTTTCATTCATTGTGAATCTTTAAACGCAGTCTTGAAAACCTTTATCGCATAAGTGTTTAATAAATGTTCAAGTCAGGGATTTCTGAATTTGTTTTGTAATGACTGGAATCAAAAACTAATGCCCTCCTGACCGGGAGCAAATATATATGGGTCATATTTTGAGCTCTATGATTTTTGCACTTATTCTGTGAATTTTTCCGAACTCATCCACTGTGTTTTTTTGACAGTAACAATCTCAGTTATCTAATCCTGTGAAGACTTTGGAAATTTTGAAATCAGGAGAGTTATTTGCAATCTTCTAAAGAGGAAAGGCCTCTAGAGCTAGTAGCTTTGTTTTGAAAAAACTGATGCAGGATCAAGTGCATTTCACACCAAAGTGAATTGGTTCGTTTTTCAAATGTCCATTTCATTTGTTTATTTTCTATCAGTGGGTGTACCTCATCTGGAGCCCTAGAGATGTGAATTTTAAAACCCAGCAAAAAATTTGTCACAGTCAAGTACCTAGTGAGAAACATTAACTCTTTTTCGTCATCAATCTTGAGCAGATTTGTATTTTTTGCATCATCTCTAATAATTCTACTCATTTTTCAGTTGTACCCCACATGTCTAATGCGATCATTGATTGGGTAGAAGATGTTGCTTCTCGCCCCATCAAAAGTGATGGTGATGACGATGACACTCCTCCCTCAGTTCCAGATGTAAGCATTTGTATCTTCCTCTTTACAATAATCTTCACAACTGACTTCTGTCTTCTCTTTTGGATGCGAAACTTGTGTAAAGTTCATCTAAAAATGACAATAGTTCTTCTGTATAAAATGAATATAATGTCAAATTACCAAAAATCCAGAGAGTTTCAGGTTTTCCTGCCAGGCAGGAATTATTGTTTTTGGGAACACATCTTTAAAAATAAAATGTATGGAAATTTTCTGGTTTCACAAGATTTAGTTAGGTATGAGATTCAGTTAGGTATGTATTCATAGTTGTGCCTTCAACATTACAGCCTCCCTAATTAGTGTAATTACCATGTCTGCAAGATGCCTTAATGTTTAAGGAACAACAAAGCAAATCAGAGCTGCTGAAAGTTATTTGCCCTCCCATTTTTCAAACTGGTCTTCTCTAATTAGATACTCCCTCCTCTCACTGATTTCTTTTTGTATTTCCGAGTTGCCGTTTTTAGCAATGAGCATACGACTTTAACACACAGAGAAGCTCTCTGCATCCCTGATATGCACCCTTCAGAGAAAGGGTGCAAAACCTCTGCACTGCCCAACCAGCCGTCCTCGCATAGTGGTGTCCTAATGTAAGAAGTTAACAAAAACTGATTTCGAAAGTGTATAGGCCATGAAAAAAAGCCTTTAAAATGGGGAGGCTGACTTGCATTAACAGAAAAATCGTGATAGTTGGTGAGTAGTGTGAAGATAAAAAAGAGGGTTTATCACTCGAAAAATGTTGGGGAAAAAGTTTTTAAAACAAGAAGCTTGGAACCCTTTGCATCCTTGATGGTCACAATACGAACTGAGACATTATCTTCAAAAACCAAAACTCGTCATATTATTTATGTTAGTCTCATGGCTCTCACTTTTTATTGAACTTTTATTGAACTTTGACTTCAGGTTTGCATAGTGGAATTAGGTGGCACAGTCGGTGACATTGAAGGAAGACCATACACAGAAGCATTTCGTCCCTTTTCACGAAAGCATCATGATAGCTTCTGTGTTGCTCACGTATCTTACGTACCCCAGGTAAAATTTTGTCATAGTTCTTGAGCTCAGGTTATCATAAAATTCCTATGTCAGATAAATGTTGTCGGCACTTTTCCAACCTCTTACAGCTTGTGACAACCAGTGTGAAAAGTGTGATGAACAAACGAATTCCTGTATTGCTTTAACTTCTGGGACTTGGACTCGAAGAGGAGCAAAAATAAGACAAATTTTTCATTCTGGTACTCTTTGAATGTTCTTATTTTTATTTTCTTAACTCTATCAGGAAATATCAACATGATGGACTTTCACGGTAACCCCTGCAACCCATATCTCATATACGTATAATCCAAATAATCGCTCAGTTTCTATTTTAATTTTGTGGAAAGAAACTACCCAAAATTTTGCTTGAAATTTGGTGGAATTAACTCTCATATAGGCAAGAGAAATTCTTATCATTTTGGAGTAGGGAAGTTGGTTGATTTCCTTCCAAAAAATTATAATGGACAACAAGATTTTGTAACACTGCACTGTAGATTTAATTGTTTTGCTTAGCTCTATCTATCTCATCGGAGGTATTTTCTTTGATGAGGTATACTTGATAAAATGAGAATTTAACTCAGTTTTTGGTACCTCTTGACTCAAGTAAATGACAGGCAACAGGATTTTAATTTCCTCGATAATTTGATCCTCATAATTGTTTCTGTATTCAAAATGCATTTGTTTGTTTTGCAGCCTGCATCAACAAAAGAACACAAAACGAGACCAACACGTCAGAGTGTTAAGGAGTTGCAAGATTGCGGGCTGTTGCCCGATCTTCTCGTTTGTCGAAGTGAAAATCCTATCCCACTACCAGTGAAAGAGAAAATTTCAAGTTTTTGCAATGTTGGACTCGATGAGGTGAGTTCCCTTCTCAATTTGCGAACACTCGGTTTTGAGTAATCGTGCTTTCTCATGTTTTTTTTTTTTCTTGGAGTCAATTATGTGCATATTTGCGCTAATTTATTCCTTGTTGTGTTGAAAAGTTTTGAATATTCAGTTGGAAGTCTTTAAAAAGTTGTTAATATTTCTGAAAGTCCTTAAATTCTTTTCTCTCATGCCTCAAAAATCTTGCCCTGCATACCTCTTTAAAAGAATGCTTTTAGATTACAGGAGAATATTCTTGCTTTTGTATGCCTGTGAAGTAAATGAATTGTATTCTTGTATTCTAATTGTCAGCTTACTTTTGCAGGTCATCTGTCTGCATGATCAGAGCTCAATCTATTATGTGCCTCTAGTTTTGCGAGATCAAGGCATTCTAGAATATTTCCAAAAGCGGCTTTGTCTTGAGTACAAAGTCTCGCTTTCAACAAATGTCCTTAGCAGCTGGGAAGCTCTAACCAAGAAACTGGAGACTGTAAGGCGTGAAGTGAATATAGTATTAGTGGGAAAGTATATCAAGCTTCATGATGCTTACGCATCCGTGATTAAAGCGTTGCAGCATGCTTCATTGAAGGCAAATTATAAGCTGAATCTCAAATTTGTAAACGCAGAAAATCTGGAGGTCGATGCTGAAAAGACGAACCCAGACCTATTTCATGAGAGCTGGATGACAGTGTGTAACAGCGAGTAAGTCTTTATTTCTGTAGTTCTTTCCACACTACGGGCTGATCATTGAAATTGGTGGACGAAGAGAAAATTGAGCACTCCTATTGGTCAAAGCACATATTTAGTGTTGACTGAGGAGGAAAATTATGGACCAACTACAGGGTCACTTGTGGGTTGCCATTAGTTTGTCTACTACTAACCTCTTTTGTCAATTGTAACCATCCACGTCCACCAATTGGATCACTCCATTTACCTGTTGTCCTCTTTGTCCATAGCTTTGGCCATCAATTTCAATAATCGGCCCGCTATTCGGTGGTGGTGTCATGAATCCTAGTTAGAAATCGCAACTCCTTTAAAATGTGATGGGTGAAGTGTATATTGTACGTGGCGAATTTTGTGATGCCACTTTTTACAATGGATCAGCCCTTTATCCACTGTGTGCCTCTGATTTCTTCCAATATTTTAAAAATTACACACCAAAAAAAAAAAATTATATTCAAAACATGTATTAGGGACAATGTGAAAAGATTCTGGCTGTTGAGATATCCATTTCTGGAACTTCTATTCAAGTAACAGTTTGAAAAATTTTGCTCAAGTTCATCAAGGCGTCAGATTGTGACATGAAGTGACCAAAAGCAATTCATCACCAAAAATTGGCATCAGTTACTATATTTTGACAAAAAGAACTTGTACTTTTCATATTGTATGGAAATTGTTTAATTTGTTTAGCTTTTATGGAATTTTGTAATATTTTATTTCAAAGCTTTACTTATAGGTGAGAGTTCTAATCATCCTGAAAGCAAAAGAAATTCTTAAAAAATTAAAAATAATTTAAAATAATTATTATGTAGCATTAACATTGCTTGAAATTCTAAAATCTTTTTAATGCTTAAAAATTGCCACTTTATCAGTAATATTCAACTCTCGTTTGTTTTCAGCGGTGTTATAGTTCCTGGAGGTTTTGGCAAACGAGGAATGGAAGGTAAAATAGCTGTGATAAAATGGTGCCGAACATTGAAAAAGCCATTTTTAGGCATTTGTCTTGGCTTACATGCTGCTGTAATTGAGTTTGCAAGGTAAGTTCCTATGTATTTCAGTCTATTGTAGCATCTTTAATAAATTACTCTGATGGTGGAACTACAGAAACGCAAATCACAGTTTTCGACATAGATTATTTTTTAAGTGAAAACTACTCATCATCAGAAACTTTTGAAATTTCTCTTCTATGTGAGGAAAATATTCTGTGAGAATTTCAAGAAATGATGTTGGTTTCCTCTTTAAAAATAAAATAGTAGCTGAAATTTTGATTGTTTTATCAATATATGCAATTGATATATCGACGGTGAAACTTCAAAAATGCGTATCTTGGTCGCTGTATTTCAAAATCTCTGCCCTATTTTATTTTTAGTGGGAATCGGAACCAATACCATGGCTTGAAGTTCTCAGATTATGCTCTATAAAGAGAAGAAAAATCACTGACTTTTTAAAAAAAATGACGTTCACTAGTTTTCTATGTAGAACATAAAGTATGGCAGGAAGTCTACAACGCTGCAAACAGAGAGACATATTTCTGCAGTTTCACCGTCAGTTGAGGCACTGGATGCAAAAAGGGTACTTCTCGATTGTTGTGTTTCAGAATCTCTGTTGCTAAGAATTAAATGTGTGATTTCTTCAGAATTCTTTCTATAGAAAACTGTAGAATCATAAGGAATATTGAGTGAAATTTTTAGTGCAATGGAAGCATTCTCTTTCCTTACAATGAATGAAATGTCAGAGGAGACTCTGACACCCTGCAACCAAGAAGTGCCCTTTTTGCATCCAGTGCCTCAATTTAGATAGTCCTGTATTATTCAGTTTCATTCATTTCACGGTTGAATGAACTGAAAGTCCCTTAAACCATGACATAACTCACAAAATGCTTTTATTTATAATTGTTCCCTCTTTTTTCTTCTGTTTTTGTGAGGACATCTGTCCTTAAAGTTTTTCCCTCCACAAAAAAATAATAATTTTTTATGCCTGAAAAGGGACACACATTGTGCGTATAAATGCTCTTTGTCTGTGGACCTTAGATCAATGTCCCATATGCTAGAACAATTTGAATGAAGGCATTACGCAATACAGTTATTCCTCCGGAAAAAGAAGCAGGAGAGCTACATCGTTTAAAAATATGATGATATACCCGATTTTGAACTCTCTTCTGTTCGAGTTCAAGTTTGCAGAAAACAATTCACCTCCGTAACTATTTTCGGCTGAGTGGCACAAATTAGTTGAAACTTGATGCATAAATGGTCCAAATTAAAGCTTTTTTTTCATTCAAACCGCAAACATGTCAACTAGCTTTAGTCCCCTTTCTCTGAAGTCTGAATCAGCATGGTAAAATTTTCAGAATTCCTTATTTATCGGAAAATATATTTAAATTTAACTGAATAGACGACAAAAAAAATTAAAGAAATTTTAATCCAAATTTTGATGAATTTATTTTAACAGGAATGTGTTGGGTCACAAAGATGCCAATTCTACAGAAATGGATCCAGAATGCAAAGACCCGGTGATATCAGACATGCCTGGCCACACTAATATTGACATGGGAGGCACCATGCGGTTAGGAAGGCAAACCACGGTATTTTCGAAGGAGCACATGGACTACTCAGTCGTCCGTAAGTGGCTGGTTGTATTTTCCTTCAGGAACTTGTATATCTACTCCTCATATGCATTTATCAATAGAAGAAAAGTACAGTTTTAGGGAATTGGAGAGAATGTAGATCCCAAAAAAAATTCGAAGGGAATATGGTGTACTGGTACAGGTTATATTTCTAATCCTTGGTTGTTAAATTATGTGCCTTCAAGCTCAGCAAGCTAAAAAACTGGAATTTTTTACGCTAGGTGCAGGAATTTTCAGATCATGTCATCATGATTGTGCGGCTGCTTGTGTAAAACAATTAGGCAGGTCATTTAATAATAGCATAGCGTTAAAATTGCGGTGGAATCGGCGAAGTTTTGTATACGTTTGGTAGCATGTCGATGAAGGACGCAAATAGGTCACGAAGTTGAGAATTCTGGGGGAAAAGGGGTTCTTTCTGATGAGGACTTAAGTTAAATAAATTGGGAGGTTGGAACACAAAATAGAAAGGCTAAGAAGTTTCTGTACCCCTGTCTCTATGCATCAATCTCTGAGTATTTGCCATTCAACAACAGGAATGTAGCTGTATTCTCATACAAAAGTAAAACCGGAGAGCTGAAAAAGTTATTTGACATGCCTAACATGACCCTCAATCAAATTTTATCACTTGACTTTGCACCTGTAACTTGTTTCAGGAAAACTCTATGGCAACAGAAAAGAAATAAAAGAAAGACACAGACACAGGTACGAAGTCAATCAAAAGTATTTGCAAGAGCTCGAAAGCAATGGCCTATACTTCGTGGGTAAGTTGTAACTTCTCGCTTTTTCTAAGATTAATTTCTGCATGCTAAACTTGTTTCAGCATCAATCAAAGAGATTTTTGAACCAAATTTCTTTGTGCATACCTTATTTTACCATTTAGCAGCCCCTCAAAAGTTTTTTTTTTACTACTTTAAGTAACCCTCAAGTGCTCATTCTGCGCTTATCCATCAATCTCTTATTTTACATTCAACTTAACGATAGCCTTGCTTCAGACGGTCAAACTCAGATTTCCTGACAAGTAATTGAACTTGGTATCTCGTATCTTGTATCTATAGGGCACACAAACACAGCATCTCAGGAAACTAACGTTTGGAAGTTGGCAATTGTTGTTGCAAGAAATGGTTGGAGATAAAGTCTCTAAGTCGAAAAAGAAAGAGGTTTTTTCTATTTTCCTCGATCCATGGGGATCGAGGAAACATGTTAATATCATGGGATATTAACGTGTTCACCATCACTGCATTTCTGTTAAAGGAAAATTATTGTGTCTCAAAGGATAGTTGTGACCAGGGCTGTGCTATTAATCGAAATTTAATGGTAATGGCAATTAATTTTTTTAATTGTAATCGCAATACTACTGAAAAATTCATTGCAATCAATCTAATGTTTCACAAAATTTTGAATTTCCTGCTGCATTCGTTTTGCATCTTTTCTATGGTAGCGCAATGTTAGTCTTCAGCAGTAAAGAATTGTTCTGAACCTGTTGACAACCCTATGAAAGTAGCCGCACAGTGCGTTTGCTGCACTCCAATGTCAATCACAAAAATGTTTCGGATACTTTTGATAGAGATTGGTAGTATATCAAATAGATACAAAATTCTAGTTGTCATCAGACAGACAGAAGTACATCACTGCGAATTCTGTGAGGTTATTCTAACTTGCGCTCGGTGTGCCGTGTCTGCATAATCAGGTGTAGAAAATTGAGAATGAGAGTCAGAAATTAATTTTATTAATGACGACCTAAACTTGGCTCTCAGTAGTTCCAGCTGAATCATCAACTGGGGAAAAGAAAAACTTGAAGAAAATTAACAGCTTCCGAAGTCTTTTGAAAAATTTGAGTCGTTCAGGAGAATTTTCTACAATTTACTACCAAAATTACTGAGAAGTTGACAGGAAATCTGTCGAAGACAGCTTGGTAATATTTGGTTTGTTATATACAAGTATATCTAAAAACAGCTTACAGTAGAAAAATAAGGGGGAAAACGAAAAAAAAGGCTAAAATACACAATCAATAAAAACCGAGACGTTTTGACTCAAAACTGAGTAATTTTCAGTCGGAAATACTATAAAAATTTAAAAAAAAAAAATGAAAACCTGAGCCTTACATGGTGGTGGCCGGGATCTGAAAAAAATGATAACAAGCAAGGCACATCGAAACAACTTATCGGGTAGTTTGAAAATCTTTATGTTCATTTTGAGCCTGAATTAAAGGCCACCGAAAAACTCCCTGGCAGTGAATGTGTTTAATTTCTAGGTTTCATATCGGAAATTTTTTGCGAACTCGACGGGAGTATTTTAACTGGTAGTTTCAGTGGTTCCAAAGTTGAATCTAAGTACGATCTTTGTCTGTGTGTGAATTGACAGGGACTGATGTGGACGGACTTCGAATGGAAATTCTAGAGCTTGACACCGACAAGCATCCTTACTTCATTGCAACGCAATTTCATCCGGAGTATCTAAGCCGTCCGATGAAGCCGTCTCCGCCTTTCCTAGGATTTATTCTAGCAGCAACCAATAATCTTGAGTCGTATCTGAAATATGGTCTTAACCAACTATCGTAAAGATCTAATCAGCCTCAAGTCATTTCAATATGTACCTTCCTCAAAAACGCTATGATGCCAATTTTTTTAACGCATTAGGATTTTAGGTATTTTTAAGTTAGTCTTCGAAATTGAAAAACAATTTTACCCATTTTCCGTAACCCGTGCTGTAGTACTTTGGATCTATGAGTATGATGCAATCAAGTCTTAATGCACGGTGTTCAATAATCTTGAGCAACTCTCCACCTCCTCAGTATTTTCCGAGCTTGCCGTAACACTTAAATCTGTTCAAATTTTGCAGAAAAGTTTAATTTTTGCTAACACCATCTTATACCTGTGACTCGATCTGATAAAATTTCACTCTCCAAGAAGTTTTTAGTGTTGAAATCTATACTTTTGCAGTTTACCATTTGGTTTTTTGGTTCTCTTAATCAAAGTTTCTCTAATGCTACTGTTTTGACTTAATATTTTAGTTTTTTGGGTGCTGATGCATCAGCATACTGTAATTGACACTTGAAATTTTTGTGATAAATTTCTATTTCTAGGACCATTTTAATGACCGTGAAATTCAGTGGTACGCCATTGACTGGTGTGATTTTAAAAGTAATTATTTTAAGGAATTTCAATTATTGTGGCAGTGAAAGATAATTGTTTTTGTAGATTTTAGTATTTGCATGTAACAAGGTACAGTTGAAAACATCTTTTCTGTGTCATGTAGCCATGCATAGTTAGCTGTTGAAGCATTTAAGTAAAATAAGTACCCAATTTTTTGTTGTGCATTTTGATCAGGATAGATATGAACTTGTTAATTTTATTTTATGTGAGATTTTTCTGGACTGATCGTAACAGAATGAAATCGGACTTTTATGCTTTGCATTTATTTTTAAATAATCAAAAGACACGGTTTAACAGCACCAAGCATGCAAGGTTTCTGAAGAAATCAACTTTTTATTATTTGCTGACTATCAATCATGATTTGATGCTCAAAGTTTCAAATGAACTCTTAATATTAATTTTCTTTACGTTGTACCTCACCGTGAAGATTAATTTTGAAAAAGGAATACTTCTTAAGTAGCTTTTAAGTCAAAATCAATGTGATAAGTATTTTCAGAGATTCTGTGTCTAGTTTTAGTAGTGGTTACTTTTTTATCATTGAAAAATCAAATTGAAATATACCTCTTTCTTCTTAAATTGATAGTACCTGTCTTTTCTCCGATAATATTTAGAGTGATGCGCAATCTGCTGAAAATAACTTCCTTAAAAATCAAGTGGCTATCATCAAAATAACCATGGTATATTTTGATGGACTGAAAATCCATTTACATATTTATATTACAAACTGCTCAAAAATGTCCCAAAAATTAGAGACTCTTAAACATTTCTTCATGGAGCCAAACCATTATAAGTTCCTAAATCTGCACATAGCTTTCATATAGTAGCTATTTTGAATTGAGTTACAGCAAAAACATTTTATATCATAAGGTGGTACGTTTAAAAAAAAAACGTATGATATTGAGTTTGAAAGTGAATAGACAATTGAGTCTCACCGAGGAGTAAAACTTTGAGCCTCCCTTTTTAAAATAAATATTTTTTTTTTAATTTGTCTAAAAAATCCAGTAACCTCATGAAAGGAACCTAAACTCATCCATGTAACCATGCTGAATGCTAAATGGTTTCGACAGCTACAAGGACTCGCAGAATTTCTCAGTGTTCAAAATTAGCGGCTGAAATAATAATTATGAAAGCACTCGGCAAATTCAATTGTTTGATAAAGAAAAAAAGAACAGTTCATCACAGTCCCGTAGAAAACCCGTTTTGAAAATTCAGAAAATGGAACCCGTTTGAGACGATATTTTTATACGCGCCTGATGACGTAGCTAGGCGCGAGAAACTCCGGTTGCTGATTGGCTGACCTCAGCCGCAGGCATCTCCTTGTTTGAATATTGACTTGGTCGGATTTTGATCGACTTTTTCTCTCCTAACTACAGAAATATTTCATTTTTTTTTTTTTGTAAACTTCTTAATACGTACATTCATCTTCGGTTTTTTCACGAAATTTTTTGTACGCAAAACCACCCCGCCAAAATTCCTCACCAATACCCCATTGTAAAATGGTTGTTCTATTCGAAAAGCGCCTTGTGTTCGTTCATAAAGTAAGTACCGCTTTCTGGACTGTTTGACCCCCCCTCCCTCTCCTCTCAACGCTTTGAGGCGTAGGTCCCAATCTTTTAACGCGTAAAAAACGGCGTGAGGCTTCGCTCCACCCCCCCCCCCCCCNATACCCTAGAGCGTTGCGTATTCTACGAAGGGTCATTACTGAGTTAATCGGTTCCGGAGCCAAGGTTTCTTCCCTTGGCACGGAATCGCGGTTCATCGACCCCCGGGCTGGCGGCCCCCTCCAGAATCTCCAATGCGGACCCCACAAATCCCTGCGGCGCGCTAAGCCAACTGCCCCTCCGCCAGGAGGCCGGGGGCTAGGGGCTGGGGGGTGTCTGAGATTTGGCGACGCTGGCTCGGAGGATCAAAAGCAGGATATCCCTGTCCCGGCCCCCCCCCCCCCCCCCCCCCCCCNAGCACCCGTTGACCCCCGCGCGTGCCGGGGCAATGGCACTGTTGCCAGATTTATGCACTCTTTTCCGTTTCATGGTGTCGAGAACCGGGGAAACCCGGTATCAATCGGGGAATGACAAATTTTTGACAAAATCAGGGAATCTGTTCCAAAAATCGGAATCCCTTTTTGTATCGCTTAGTGATCATTTGGACGTATTTCTGCCGAACGGAACTATTAGCATTAAGACATGAGCCCTGAGACCCATAAGAATGTATGCATAACAGGGCTCACGTCATAATGCACATAGTTCCGTTTGGCAGAAACGACCCATTCGTCGTTCCCCGCACGAAGGAACGTACTCCATTTCAAGGTTGCCAAATTGACTCAAACAATTCAGTTTTTTACAAGAATGCTCCTGTGCCATTTCCCTCCAAAATTTGCCCGATTTGAGAATGAGATCAGAGTAGAAATCAGCGAAATTTCCAGTTGGAAATGCCCGAGATTCTCCTGATAAAAATACAAATTGCGAGGGAAAATTAGGCAGCATCGGAATGTAGGTATGTTCTCTCGTGAGGGGAACGAATTGTCAGGATTATAGAGGAGCTTTCATCGACTGGATTAACATCTATGACGCTTTTGGCGCTAAGAATTCTCATGTGCGCCAAAGAATCAGCTGAAAGATTGAAAAAAAAAAAAAACGAAATACAAAAAAAAAATTGATTTTTATATCTGGAACTCCGGAGACTAAGTAGGTAATAAAGTTTTTTTTCAAGACGATCCAGGATAAGCGGGGGAAAACTTTTATTTTTCATGGTATTGTACCCACGGGACGTTTCATGGGATTTGTCCGAGGGAAAAATCTCACGTGCGAAGTTGGGAAACATATTGAGTAGTCAATCAGGGTGTCTAGCACCAGGATTTTCCCGATTCTATCAGGATTTGAGGTCAATCAGGATTTAATCCCTATTTCACCAGGATCTGAGGAAAAGTCGGTCGTAAAATCAGGATTTGAGAAAAGTCGGCCGTCTGATCAGATTTTTTTATCGAGCTATTTTTGTGAAGTTACATTCGCCTCTTTTTCTCCGCAAAAAATGAGGATTTGGAAAAATTATGAAATCAGGATTTAACAGTCAAAAATCAGGAAAAATGAGGATTTTCCAAAACGAAAAAAAATTAGACACCCTGTCAATGCTAATCAGAGTGCCAACTTAAAATCATTGTGGAGTCCCAGGAAGGACTGAAAAAGAAGACGAAGAAATTTTGTTGTGTTGTTTAACTGGGAAAAAACGAGAAGTTTCATTCCTATTATTGGAACTTGGGAAAAATCCCGTGGAGACTAGGCGTATGAGGGAGAAATGAGGGAATGAGCATGGTGAAGCACTGGTGAGCCTAGGCAGGGTTTAAATCCCTGTAAAATATCTTGATTTGATGGTAGAACGTGGCAAGTTGGGGCGTCGACGCGCGCATCTGCGTCGCGGGATCAGCTGTTGGCGCGGCGGCGGGCGGCTCGGGCGGCGAGCTCAGTGCCTCCGAGCCTGCCTCACCCGCTCGTCCCTTTCTTCCCGGGCCGCGGCAAGGGCCACCCTCCGATTTGGGTTGCATCAGTCCCTTCGCGCGTGGTCCCTTTCTGGCCCCCTCTCTCTCCGTCTCCCGTGGATTTGAGGATGCTCCAACACGCATTCTTGTGAGTGACGCAATTTTCAATTTATTCCCCTTTCAGCCCAGGATCTAGGTCGCTCCAGTTCTAGGGTCTGTCCCCGTGGGCAGGGTATAACCTAGAATTCCAGAGCTCAGTCCGAGGGAACCAAATCCACAGCTCTATTTTCAAAACAACCCAGCTGTCCAGGAATTTGGGTTTATTCATTCTCTGCCAACGATCAAATTTCGTCGAGTTTCTCGAGTTACTGCTGCATCGACGGGGGATTTACCCCACAATCAACTAGTTAGTTATTTTATTTGTAGACATTCAGCATCCTAGGCTATTAACGTCTTTACAAAGAATTTGGAAGATGGGTGTATATTTAAAATTTAGATTTTTAAATTAAGCGCGCGCGGAGGCAAATAATTTCAGTAGTTAAGTTGTGACATTGGGTTCATCGCATGTTAGTGAAATTAGACGGTTTAGTGATAGGGAAACAAATGCATTGATTTATTTTTAAAAGCATCCAGCTGTGCAGGGATTTAAAGACCCAACCGTCGTGTTACTTTTGAATTGTTGGGGGTTGATTTTGGTCTAGTTTAGGATCTGTTAGCGTGGTTGAGGTTATAACCCAGAATTGGATGATTTACTCGGTGAAAGGGATTTCTGTTTATACGACCACCCAGCTGTGTACTGTGCAGGGATGTATGGACGCACTTTTGGTGTCAGTCGAGTCGCTCCTGAAATCTGCCAAAAAGACAGTCGGGTTTTGCAATATGTTTAATTCGTGGCGGCCGAGAAGATTTCCTAGACTTTGACAGTTCAGAGAGAGGGGACGAATTCATCAGGGCATTAATGCACCAATCCATTTGGACAGGGATTTTCTGTAACTGTGTGTAGATCTGAACCCATCTGTAACTGATTATCAATTGTAGATGAGTTTTTTTTAAACAAGTCCAAAAAGTTGGTCGAGTTTTGATTAGTCGGCGTGCTGGCTGTGGAGATGATAGTAGCAAACTGGATCAGTGAAAGAGAGAGATTCAAAGGACGCGAGCAATGAGCATAGGTACTTAAATACCACCTTTCTCTGAGGAGCTATCAATAGCAGATGTATTTATTATCTCTGATATAGGATAAAGAAATTGGTCGAGTTTTGATAGTCCCTTGTAGTATTCAAGGAGGCAACCTAGGATCAGGCAGTTTCTAACGAAAAAGAAGCAAATTCCCCGTGAAAGAAGAGGTGCTGGTTGGAGAAGGTCTGCAAAATTCTAAATTCATCTATATTCTCAGACCGAGAGCCAATCTCATCGTTCTTATCGTTTTGTTTATGATCAGCGAATAATCTCAATTTTGTGAGCGAAGAATTGACTGATCCTTGAGTAACGCTACAAACGTTTATTCCTCATTTACAAGTTGATAACGGCGATTTTCGGTTTGGTTAAGGTTCTTTCCACGATTTTGACAAGAGAGTAGGATCTGTACAGGGCCGGATTTACCTACCTACTTGCCGCTCGTGGGCAGCCTGTATTTTGCCGCACTCTTCTTATTCGTTTTGAAACATCAATATGGAAACGATCAATTGAACGTGCCGGAGAGGAGGGGTTCATAAGACGCGTATACTCGTGTTGGACACATGTTTTGAGAAAACCCTGTCAACGCTACTAGCAAAAGTTCACGGAACTTCTCGCGAAAGTTCAGTTCCGTAAACCTATCTCTGTGTAGACAAGGCCTTCCATTTGTAAGAAATGAACGAAAAAATTATGAAAGAACCAACAGAAATGTGGTTCAATAATTTTAACTTCCGCGGCCGCGCTGACCGCACTGTGTTTGGTGCAATTCGTGAAGTATTCATACAGTCTTGTAGGCGCTATGGGTTTCACGCCGCGCCGCGCCGATCGCTGCTGAACGCACTGTGTTTGGCGCAATGCGTGAAGTATTCATACAGTCTTGTAGGCGCTAATATGTGTTACATGCCGACCGCCGCGCCGAGGGCTTCTCCTT